ACCAGAGTGGCCCCAGATGTCAGGGTGGGCAGGAACAGGAATGGGCAGGGATGTTGGAGTGGACAGGAACATCAAGGTGGACATAGGGGTGGGCAGGGACAGGGATGGACAGGGACATTGGAGTGGGTCAGGGGACAGAGGTGGGCAGGGACAGGGATGGACAGGGACATTGGGGTGGGTCAGGGACAGTGGTGGGCAGGGCTGGGGTGGGTCAGGGGACAGGGGTGGACAGGGACAGGAATAGCCCTGCTTACGCTGTCCCACCCCCCACAGATGGTGAACCTGCTGCTCAACAAAGGCGCCAGCCCCAGCACATGTGACAAGAAGGACCGGCAGCCCCTGCACTGGGCGGCCTTCCTGGGTAGGTGTTCCCTGCTGGTTTCACCTCCCCATCCTCCTCTCCTGCTCTCCCATCCCTTCTCTCCATCTCTCCCGTTCCTCCTCTCCACCTCTCCATCCCCTCTCCCTTCATTCCCAATCCCACTCAGATTCCCTTTGGGCTCTTCCATTTTCCCCCATCTCTCTTGTGTTTCCCATCTCTCCTGTGTTTCCCATCTCTCTTGTGTTTCCCATCTCTTCTGTGTTTCCCTGTCTCTCTGGGGTTTCCTGTCTGTCCCATGTCCCGGTCTCTCTGGTGTTTTCCATCCCTGTTCCCCCATCTCTGCTGTGTTTCCCGCCCTGTCCCGCTCTCCATCACGGCTGTCCCCACCAGGTCACCTGGAGGTGCTGAAGCTGCTGGTGGCGCGCGGGGCCGATGTGGCGTGCAAGGACAGGAAGGGTTACACGCTGCTGCACACGGCGGCCGCCAGCGGCCAGATCGAGGTCGTGCGTCACCTCCTCAGGCTGGGGGTCGAGGTGAGACCCCGGGAGCTTTTCTGGGGATGGGAAAAGCGGGGACAGGAGCTGGAGAGGGGCTGGCAGGAGCTCTGGGTGCTCCTCAGCTGCCTTTCCCTTCCTAAATCCCAAGTCCTCTGGATGTCGTGGCTTCCATAGAGCCGTGAGCTGAATTCCATCCTGAGCGGTGACGGGAGCCCTGGGTGGTTCCCAGCTGCCTTTTCCTTCCTAAATCCCCAAATCCTGCGGACTTTGCTGCTCATAAAGTTCAAGGAACTTTGAATTCCTTGAAATTCCCTCCCCCTGGGTGGTGACAGGAGCCCTTGGTGGTTCTCAGTTGCCTTTTTCCTTCCTAAATCCCAAATCCTCTGGATTTTGTTGATCCCTGAGATCAAGGAACCAAATTCCTCCCCCTTGGTGGTTCTCAGTTGCCTTTTCCCTCCTAAATCCCAAATCCTCTGGATTTTATTGATCATTGAGATCAAGGAACCAAATTCCTTCCCCCTGGGTGGTGACAGAAGCTTTGGGTGGTTCTCAGTTGCCTTTTTGCTCCCTGAATCCCAAAATCCTCTGAATTCTGTGGCTCCCACATATCCATGAACCAAATTCCTTCACCATGGGTGGTGACAGGAGGGACAGTGACAGGATCCCGGGATGGTGACAAGATCCCTGGGTGATGACAGGATCCCTGGGTGGTGACAGGATCCCAGAATGGTGACAGGATCCCAGAATGGTGACAGGATCCCAGGGTGGTGACAGGATCCCAGGGTGGTGACAGGATCCCTGGGCGATGACAGGATCCCAGAATGGAGACAGGAGGGACAGTGACAGGATCCTGCGGTGGTGACAGGATCCCTGGGTGATGACAGGATCCCAGGATGGTGACAGGATCCCTGGGTGATGACAGGATCCCGGGGTGGTGACAGGATCCCAGGATCATGACAGGATCTTGAGATGGTGACAGGATCCCAGAATGGCGACAGGAGGGACAGTGACAGGATCCCAGGATGGTGACAGGATCCCAGAATGGTGACAGGAGAGGTGGTGACAGGGTCCCAGGATGGTGACAGGATCCTGGGATGGTGACAGGAGGGGCAGTGACAGGATCCCAGAATGGTGACAGAAGGGTCAGTAACAGGATCCTGGGATGGTGACAGGAGGGGTGGTGACAGGAGAGGTGGTGACAGGATCCCTGGGTGCTGACAGGATCCTGGGATGGTGACAGGAGGGGTGGTGACAGGATCCTGGGATGGTGACAGGATCCCAGAATGGTGACAGGATCCCAGAATGGTGACAGGATCCTGGGATGGTGACAGGATCCCGGGGTGGTGACAGGATCCCAGAATGGTGACAGGATCCTGGGATGGTGACAGGATCCCAGAATGGTGACAGGATCCCGGGGTGGTGACAGAATCCCAGAATGGTGACAGGATCCCAGAATGGTGACAGGATCCCAGGGCACTGCCAGAACCTTTGGTTTCTCCACATCTGCTTTCCCCATCGTTAAGCCCCAAATCCCGTGGATCCCATGAATCCCATGGATCCATGAATCCCACGGATCCCACGATCCCGCAGATCGACGAGCCCAACTCCTTCGGGAACACGGCGCTGCACATCGCCTGCTACATGGGCCAGGACGCCGTGGCCAACGAGCTGGTCAACGTGGGGGCCAACGTGAACCAGCCCAACGACAAAGGCTTCACGCCCCTGCACTTCGCCGCCGTCTCCACCAACGGCGCCCTGTGCCTCGAGATCCTCGTCAACAACGGCGCCGACGTCAACTTCCAGGTGCAGATCCTCGGGATTTGGGGTTGGAGGGGTGGGAAAGGTGTTGGGATTTGGGGTTGGAGGGGTGGGAAAGGTGCTGGGATTTGGGGTTGGAGGGGCAGGGAAGGTGTTGGGGTGCAGCTGAACCCCAGGATCCTCAGGATTTGGGGTTGGAGGGGCAGGGAAGGTGTTGGGGTGCGGCTCCAGGTGTGGGATCCTTGGGATTTGGGGTTGGGATTTTGGGGAAGCTGTTGGGGTGTGGTTCCAGCCCCAGGATCCTCAGGATTTGGGGTTGGGGTTTTGGGGTGCAGCTGAGCCCCTCAGGATTTGGGGTTGGGATTTTGGGGAGGTTTTGGGGTGTGGCTGAGCCCCTCAGGATTTGAGGTTGGGATTTTGGGGAAGGTTTTGGGGTGCAGCTGAGCCCCTCGGGATTTGGGGATTTTGGGGAAGGTTTTGGGGTGCAGTTGAGCCCCTCAGGATTTGGAGTTGGGATTTTGGGGAAGGTTTTGGGGTGCAGAAGGTTTTGGGGTGCAGCTGAGCCCCTCGGGATTTGGGGATTTTGGGGAAGGTTTTGGGGTGCAGCTGAGCCCCTCGGGATTTGGGGATTTTGGGGAGGTTTTGGGGTGCAGCTGAGCCCCTCAGGATTTGAGGTTGGGATTTTTGGGGAAGGTTTTGGGGTGTGTCTGAGCCCCTCGGGATTTGGTGATTTTGGGAAGGTTTTGGGGTGCAGAATGTTTTGGGGTGTGGCTGAGCCCCTCAGGATTTTGGGATTTTGGGGAAGGTTTTGGGGTGCAGCTGAGCCCCTCAGGATTTGGGGATTTTGGGAAGGTTTTGGGGTGCAGCTGAGCCCATCTGGGGCTGTTTTCCACAGAGCAAGGAAGGGAAGAGCCCCCTGCACATGGCGGCGATCCACGGACGCTTCACGCGCTCGCAGATCCTCATCCAGAACGGTCCGTGCGTTCCCGCCTTATCCCGGGTTTTCCTGGAAGCTCAGGGGGGGCTTGGGGCTTTCCCAAATCATCCCAAACTCCCACGTGGCTCCTCTGGCCTCGTGCACCCAGGGAATTTCAGGGAGCTGAAATTCCAGCCGCAGCCCGAAAGGCAGAATTCCTGCCAGAACCTCCAAGATTCCAACATTTTTCCTAATATTCCCATCAAATCTTCCAATATTCCAGTGTTTTTCCCAGTATTCCTGCCAGATCCTCCAAGATTCCAATGTTTTTCCTAATATTCCCATCAAATCTTCCAATATTCCAGTGTTTTTCCCAG